TGTGTGTGTGTGTGTGTGTGTGTGTGCGTAGTTGGTGTTATAGTTGTTGCTGGCAGCGCCTGATAATGGCACACAATGTTTATTTACTTGCTTTAACATTTTTGCTGCTGCTGTTGCTGTTGCCATCGTTGCCATCGTCGTTGTTGTGCTTTGCTTTTATTTTTTCATTTTTCCCTGCCACCGTGTTGCATGCAACATGCTGACAATGAGACACTTGAGCATTTGGCGCCTGATTGCATGCTACACTTGCCCCCCTCCCCAACACCACCAGCACCAACACGAACCCTTTCCAACACCATCCATGCCAGTCCCATCCATCCCCCCACTCCATCCCTTTCGCACACTCACACTGTTTGTGTGCTTTTTTGACTTTGACTTAACTTATTTGTTGTGTGTGCTTTTGTTGGCTCACATACACACACACACACACACACACACACACACACAGAGAGAAAGACCGGCGCACAGACACCGACACAGTGTTGTAAAGTGTCGTGTTGGATTTGCGTAATTTATGCTCTATTTGCCTTTCGGCTTCATTTCATTTTTTGTTGCCCCTCCCGTCCGTTGCAAGCACCAGTGTTGTATTTTAAGCCCCATGCGTGCATGCATGTGTGTATCTGTGTGTGTGTGTGTGTGTGTGTGAGTTTTGCATTAGTTGCTGCTGTCCGGACATACCCGATAGCCATAGCCATAGTCGTAGCCCGTGTGCCTGCACATGAAGTCACCTGCTGGCCCACTTTCGTCGGCCACATCCCCGGCACTCGGACTCGAGGAGAGGAGAGGAGAGGAGAGGACAGGAGAGACGAGAACAGGAGAGGGCGAAAGACGCCAACTCTTAAGCTACTTAGGCATATACATTACCCGACGGAGAAGAAGTTGGGGCTTCTGTTTTCAAATTGATTGAAGTAATTAGGTCAAGCTGTTCAATTTAGTTCAGCCTTTAAGCAATTTGTTTATCTTTAATACTCCTTCTCTCTCTCTCTCCCTCTCTCTCTCTCTCTGTATACCCTCGTCTTTCCTGTAAAATGACTTTTATCTCCGCGATGATACTTTAAGTCACAATTAATCAGGCCATTAACAAATTATAATAACTCCTATAATAACTAATTATCGATGACAATCAATTAATCAGGCGTCTAAGCAATTAAAACACTTGCTAAAATAAAAATATAAGCTAGCCTTACTTACTTCTTAACATGCTTAATAGCCAATGATCTGGTTTTACTATAGTTTAAATAGACTGCTCAAGACATTATTTTATACCATTAATCACACTTAATCAGGCCCTTATCTTTTGATCTCGCCTATTATTTAAATAGTTAGTTGGGATAATTAGCAGCTTAACCGCTTAAAGATGGAAACTGAAAGGTTTAAATTAAAAGTTATATTTCTAATTTTTATTTGTTATTTATGCCAATTCATTATATATGCTTATACTACTATAATAAACCCTAGTAAATATATAGGTTTACATATCGGTTCTTACTCTAATAGTTTCTGATGAGCACTCTAGAATTTAAGTTAATATTATATATAATATATTTCGTTTTTCGAAAGCCTATGCTAATACAGTAGTATACTATAAAGTTGATGAAAATATGAAATTATAATTAAAACGTAATGAAAGTTGGCCATAAAAACATTACTTATTTCATTTTATTAAAAGAGGGGAATATGTAAAAACTAAAAGGGTAAATGAAATAGGGATCTACTTCAAAGCGATTACCATTTAATAGCCACCAAAGTTTGTTGCATATTATGTCTCTATTTTTTGGTCAAAGCGCATTTCATTAACTAACTATGCTTATCTTTATAAGTTTTGTTGTTACTCTCCTATATGTATGATATAGTATTGGGATTCTCTCTTTACAACCAATAGTCATTATTTCTTTGCAATAAAATAAAACTTATAAATAATTGTTTGCCCAAAATTTCAGGTTACAATTTTGCCTTTTCCGTAGAGAATAAGGAAAAAATGTACATATTTTTAAATCATGGGGAACATGCATAGATAATCCTTAAATAAGGATATTGGTAAAATCCTACAAGTGAATAATTTAGTTCGCTTTAAGAAAACAAAATAATAATTATTAGCCGTCCCTGTTAAAAACAGTTGAAGGGTTTTTTCAGCATTTAATTCTACAACTCTTTAAAAAACTCACGATGTGCCGCTCTGTCTGCTCTTTTCAATTCTAGCAATCAGTACATTTTTGCGGCGTTCAATGCTAGACTATCGCATACACTTCCAATATGATATGCATCTGTGTCTGTCAGTCAGTGCCTATTTTGACTGACACCTGTGAGTAGTTAAAGAGTGCATTTGAAATGCGAAACTGTGTGCGAACGGATTTTAAATTTAGCCAAAGGCACACCTTTCTCCTACCTTCCTTCCTTCCTTCCTTCGGCCTCGACCCTCTCTTCGATTCCTGTCAATTACACACCCTTTCTGCAATATTTTCAATTCATTCTAAACTTCCAGTGCTGCACGCTGTTCTGTGCCTGTGCGGGTCCTCAACCTCAACCGTAAGCCCCTGAGTTGCGTTGCCACCTACTGCTCCTGTTATTGTTGTTGTTGTTGTAACTCTCGGCTTTGCTTTTGCATTATTTTTATAGCATTTCTCAATATTAGAACTCAATAAATTTCCCTTACATTTGTGAGCGTGTGGAGTGAAGCAGAGAGCTGCGTTTTTCAACAGGCGATTAGTTGGCGCTGTCAGACGACTTTGGGGGTCTGCACTTGTTACACCCTCTACTCGAAGCGTGAAAGGGTATGCTAGAAAGTTGCAGCTGTACAGCCTCATCTGTTCGACTGTATGAACATCGAGAACTTTTGAACCATAACAGCTTGAGACACTAAACTTGATACGTGCACACGCAGAGAAAGTTTATTTCAAACCATATAAAGATTTATTATTTTATAGACTAGCTGCCATAGGAGTGATCGTAATACTACAAATATTTCTGTTAATAAAAATACAAATTTTAATAGAACTTAACTATTGTTTTTAGTTTTATTTAAATCGGCGTATTGCTATAGTAACGATTGTTGCAAAAATAAATCTCAGTAACAAAAACATTGTTGTTTAAAAAGATATCCCAAGTTTTTTGTAGTGCCTCAACATATTCAAAAATTTTAATAAAATCTATCAACTATACTATTAAGCTGTCATTACTACTACAAAGTTGCAGGCAAAAAGCAAAAAAAGATGACAGGGTATGCAAGAGTCGTGATGGCACAATTATACTTTGAACTTCTTTGGAGTTCGGTGTGGGTCTGGGTCTGAGTCTGAGTCTGTGGGTTGCGTGGGATGGGGGAGCCTGTAGGCCATGAGCTCCCGGCTCGGGGTCTGTTGTGCAACAGTTGAGCGACGAGCAGGCAAATTGAATGGTTACCAGTAGGGCACGTGTGCAGCTGAGTGGGGGCGGGATGGAGGGAGTTTCAAGAGGCGGCTCTAATAGGTTTTACATAACACACGTCGAAAATAAATCTAAATGGAACAGCAGCAGTGCCAGTGGCAGTGGCAGTGGCAGGTGGAGGGAAGATGGCAGGCAAGGCAACTTCATGAAAAGGCCTTTGGCAAATAAAATTTACATAGGGACCCACACACATCCTGCGACGAGGACGACGACGACGACAAGGACAGCAGAGCGTTGTGTGCTTGTGAATTTATTTGAAAATTTATTGAGTTTTCGTGTTAACCATGCATAATTAAGTTTTTCTTTTGCCAACCAACAAACTGCTTTGGAGGCTCGGTCCAAAGAAAGAAAGAGAAAAAAACACACACACACACAGTTTTTGGGCAGCAGGATAGCCAGGAACAGGAACAGCAGCCAGAGGCAAATCAGTTTTAAGCATTTGTTGGCGCCGACGGGCAGGGGCGTGTTGAAGATAGGCTTTTGCTTTTATTTACGAGCCCCGTGCATGACTGTAAAGGCGTCCAAATGTGTCCCCCTCCTTCGCTCCCCCTCTCTCACTCACTCTCTCACTCACTCGCTCACTCACTCGCTCTCTCCCACTCCGTGTGCAGGTGTATCGGCTTACTGCTGAAAATGTTGTTTATGCGCCATTTAAATGTAGGCGACAGACCGAGCCATATAATAACAGTCGAACTAACTGCAGACGGACAGAATGTAGCTAAGAAGCAAACGACGCACAGTGGCTCAAAAGTGGCAATTAATTTGGAAATGAATTCGATATTTAATTGCGCCATGAGTGCACTGAGGAAACTACATTGTCCTGACGATACCATATTGTTAGCTAAGTAGCAGAGCGCTGACAAACTTCAATTGTAAATACTCTATGATTTTACTTCACATTGTCATTAGTCAGCTATAATACATACATACATATGTAAGTATGTATGTATTTATTTTCTAAGGAAGTTTTAAAATCGAAATTACATACACAAGTGCTAAGAAAAAGGTTAATGAGTTATTGGGAGACAACACTTTTTCCGGTTTACTTACTTTTAATTAGTCTTTAAATCTTGTCCTCTTTTACTTTAAAAGTATTTCGAAATTACTTCATATTGGTGCCAAGGTCGTGCTCGATAAGTGAATAAATTCCGTCTTCCTTCTCTGTCTCTTTCCTTTTTCACCAAAAAAGCACGCTCTGAAGAGAGGACTTCAACCCTCGTTCATTTGCTGAGAGAGAGAGGAGCGTAAGTGCTGTTACATATCGTCTGATTAGAGTGCGAGATAATCATCGAACTTAGTCTGCTTTCAAACAAAAAGCTGCGCTAGCGTCGCGTCGCCGGGAAGAGCAGCATTTTTAAATTGCTCGTTAATTTGCAAAAAATATGCATTCATACATATTTTAACAAATTAGTATCAAAAGTATCGCGTTTATATAAAATAAATTGTATACAGTATTGGATACAAGTATATTACTAAATAACTCAATTTATGTATGTGTGCGAAAAGTGAGGCTGCATTGTCTTTTGCATTGTGATATTTTTTGTTGTTTGTTTTTAAGTGAGTGTTCGTGTGTGCGAAAGAGAGAGCGATCGAAAAGCTCCCTTGCTATATTTTATTTAATTTCTGCAATATCAGCCTGTTAACTTGACTGATCATGAATTTCATAATGGTAAGTTTATCATGCATTTAATTAAAATGTTGTTCCAAATCTATACATAAATATGTATGTATGTATGTACATACATATGTATGTTGATGCAAGCAAGCGTTGTTTTTTTCACTGCGCAGTAGCAGCGCCGTCGTTATCAATATTTGCGCTAGCGCCGTTACATGCGTAATTCTCTCCCTCTCTCTCTTGCTTGCGCGCTTGTTTATGTTTAGGAAGAATGCGCAGACATTGAGTGGCGTAGCCAGAGTGGTTTTATTGTGGCTTTTTAGTGCTGCCACCGGGCGCTCGTTTTATTTGCGCGCGAAGCTTAATTCAAAAGTGTCATTCGATTTCAAATTCAGAGTAAATGCTTCAACAAGCAAGCGTGCGGCATTTTACAGCACCTGAGACGCTGTTTGTCACAATTTCTAACGTTCTACTCCTCTTAAATATTTTCTGCAAGCTGAGCCACTGTGCTCCGGTTCATAAAAGACCAACGAATGTCTTTCAATCTTCGCACACATATGTACATACATATATACTGTTTGTGTGTATGTTTGTGTGCACGCGTACACCCCGACTGTTATGTTAAATCAAGTTATCTGCTCGCTACTTGAATTATTATTCCTTATTGCATTTATTTGCTTTATTTCTCGCACTGAACTTCATCTATAATGCATGTGGAATGCAAGTCAATGCCGTCGGGTGCCCCAGACGATGTTACGTGGCAGTGGCAGTGGCACTGCCACACTATCACTGGCAATGCCAAGGCAGACTAAAGAAGCTAAGCCGCTGCCATTGCCGTTGCCGAGACACACACGTGCTGCCCGTGACATCCCGTGGCTGAAAGGCACGCTCCCTGCCAGTTAAAGCTGCTACTGCTGGCTCGGCAGTTGCCTGCTCCTCCAGTTGCCGGCGGCGACAGCGTCGGCGGCTCGTCTTCGTCCTTGTCGGAGTCCTCTTTTTGGCGTCTCATGTGCCCTTTTTGTTGCTTAAGTGAAATGCATAAAAATCAAATAATTTTCCTGTTTTTCATTTGCTTTACTTTTGTGCGCAATGTGCGCGCTGCTGCCTTTCAGGCTGACTGTCTGCCTTTCTGTCTGTCTGTCCGAATGCCGGCATATCTGGCTGCTTGGCATTTCGTTGCTTTTAAAATATAAATACGCACACACACACATACTGTGTGTACTGTGTGTAGTGCCCGACTGTGCCTCCTTCTTGGCGTACAACTGCATGCGAAATGTTAAAAGTAATTTCCCCGGCTATACAAGATAGTCCCGCAGTCAGAATGTGGCTCAAGCCCGAGCCCGAGCTCTTACTCTGTCAGCAGATGCCAAACGGTTGCCTTACACTGAGCGACAGCATCTACGAAAAATATATCAGTTGGGCTTAAGTACACTACAAGAAATCGTAAATAATTTACAATTGTAGCGGAAATAGAAAAGAGAACAACTGCTACTAAGGCCACGGTCCGACAGACATAATTCACATGCAAGTTCTTGAATTGCAATTTTTTTCGTTTTGCTTTTTGAAGACGACTTGTAAAATGTAAAATGTGTACTTTGTACTCCCTAGGTTCTGTTTAATTGTAAATGATTTCTTTTATTTCTTTGTTATATAAAGTCATCTGATAAAGACTCTTTAACTCTTTAAAGCTAAGGGAAGCTTCATGAGTATCGTGACATTTACAGAAGACTTCGTGAATTCATTTCATACTTGTACGTGATCGTGATGGCACCTCTTTTGTCAGACGCACAGCTCTAATACTGATCTAATCTTATACTCTAATACTGACCACAAATTTGTAACATCTGTTTTTATTTCCAAATTCGATCAAATTATGCAAAATCTAAGTTGTAAAGTGTACGCAAAGTGTACAATTTCTATTGAGTTATGGGAAATTGATTGTTGTTCTTAAAAGTAGTCGTTTCAAAGTTGTTTTTCTAGCCATTTAAGTACAAATTTGACTTTATTCGAAATCGTGAATATTTATGTTTTCCGAAAATACTTGTTTTTAATCAATTTCCAATGAATTTTGAATTCATACTTATTCATTTTTAATAAATTAAGCTGTCCAAAAAACCTTTTTCAAGAGAAAACTTATGACAAGCTTTGGAGTCATTTTTTCCCGCTTTGGAGTATGAATTTCTCAAAACCTATACCTGCTAAAAAACTCTTGGATGACAGCTTCGTAACTCTTAGCGTGTGGGCTGTGCATTGATCATTTAATTTATTTTGTTAAACAAATTTGTAAGTTTCTCAAATATTGTTAATATTAACCAAAGTCTTACTACTACTACGATCACTAGTTGTCCCTACAAACAAAGTACGAGTGGGAGATAACAATTATTATGAACATAAGTGTACGAAATTGTGATAAACAAAACCTATATATAATATAATCTAAATAAATATACATTTTTATATATTTGTAATATAATATAAGTATATCTGATAATCTGATATGCAACAGAAGATAGATGTATGTATCTTGGACATAAAAGCACTCTCCTGTTGCATCTAAGGATGCACATTAGGGATATGTGTGTTTTTTTTTTTTGGAAAAGAGAGAAGTCAGCAGTAAACGGCAAATTTATCATATTTACAATAAATACCATACACTGTGAGCTCTCTTAGCATGCTGGGAAAGGAGACAAAGGAAAATATCGAATAGAAAAAGGGTCCCATTGTAGACGGAAGTGGGTTTATTTGGAAAACGTTTTCAGGCATGCACCTCCTAATAGGCACTTCAAGCTCAATTGTTCCGCTACTTTTGGACTCAAAAGCAAAACAATTTGCCCACTTTCTCGACTTATGTAGGTACATATATACACATACCATAGTTGTACACACTATATACATGCATGTATGTACAAGTATATATACCCGTATGTGACTGACTTTGTCACAAATGCGCAATGCTTGCGACATTTTCGAGAAGTGCACTTCAGAGAGCAAAGTCAGAGTCAGAGTCACAAAGTCGTTGCAGCGAGCCAGTGTGGCAGCATGGCGCTGTGGCAGATGTTGGCAAACTGTTGGTGGGTAGTGTGGAACGTGGGCAGAAGTGTTGGGGAGTGAGGCAAATGCGAGAACAAAGTTTTGGGATATTAAAAATTGTGTGCCACAACTCACTGGCGTGAGCAATGAAGTGTCAAAGGCTTTAAAGAGCTCAGCACACGCGGCGTATGCGCAACGCCAAAACGCTTTTGCCGCACAAATTGTGGCAAGTGGCTCTTTGAGGCTCTTTGAGTCCCGCTGCTGCCTCAGCCACATGCCGCCTGCCAGCTTGGTAGCCAGCTTGCCACTGTTGAATTACATTTCATGTCCTGCCTCTGCATTTCCCTTTGTTTCCTTTTTCTTTCTACTCTGTCTGCCATAAATAAATTTATGTTGTGGTTGTACGGCCTTTTTCTATGTCCTATGTACAGGGTGCGCTCGCTTAAGTGAACGAACAAATGCAAATTATAAATAAGACTATAAACTAGGAAACAAATATAGTTAGTAACACTATACTTGTACAGTTTTCAAAAGATTAGTGTGTGGAATGTGGAAAAAAGGTTTTGTATTTTGTAAACTTTTTATTTTAAATATAAAGCTGTGAATTGTGTTTGTTCTCGAAGCCTAGACGAGCGCAATCGCTTAAATTTTAGGACAAGTTGAAAGGAGTTATGAATGGGGAGCCGTTTGGATTTATTTTTCCCCAACCCATAATATATAGATTACTTGTAGAAATATATTTATAAGTATCAAGTATCGATGTCCGAAAACAGTGGTGTAATGGCCATTAGCAAAGTGTGAGTTCCTGCTACAGCAACAATAAAAAATAAAAATAAAAGAGTCCGATGTGCGTTGATATTGTTATGGTAATGTATCTCGACTAATTAATATTGTACAAGACTGGCATTAAAAGGAAAAGATGGAATAATAAAAACACACACTGCAATCAGAAATTAACTTGCTTTAATATTATAGCCATTTTAAAGGTAAAGTATGAAAACTAGCATCTAGTATTTAGGAATTATATACATTCGGCTAGAATTAAAATAGAACATACTGAAGTAAGTATAAGAATGGAATTTCATTAGGAATTCCAAAGAAACTTAGGTCCTTTACGAATTTGAATAATGATAATAATAATAGTTGAAGAACAATAATAATCCGACGCAAATGAGAAAATGAGGTATATAAAATAAACTCGTGTTGTCTAGGGACTAGAAGAGTCTACATACCAAGTTTGGCCATTGTGGGGTCAGCAGTTTCCGAAATTCAGGCGTTCATTCAGACAGACAGAAAAATTAATTTTAAAAATATTTTTTTAAATGTGTTTGGTTTGGTCGAGTCTCTTGTTTTTAAGGAAACTTACACAAATAAGTTAAACATTTATTGCAACTAGCTTGTAGATATAAATATTGGATATTACAGCGCACTTAAGGGCACCTGGGAATAATTATGAGTGTACTCTTTATCGCATCAGCCCTGTATACGACATTGCATTATTTGCGGCGCTTGGGCGAACGATCGCTTGAGCGTTTTCCCAGTCGCTTGTCTGTTCGTTCGTTTGTCTGTCCCTCTGTCCCTCTGTCGGTCTGTCTGTCTGTTCGTTGGTTCGTTTCGGTTTGTCATACGCCAAATCGAAATGTTATTTATATGCGTACGTGTGTGCCTCGCAACGATGATGATGACGACAAATGCGATGGCGGCAGACGTGCAAAGCTTATCGCTGCCATGGGGCTCTGACTCTATTTGTGGCTGTAAGCGGTAAGCTGTGAAGTGTGAGTGAGGGTTTGGGTTCGGAGTGTGGGCTTGGAGTTGGGGCTTGCTGCCAAGGGGGTAAGAGGGCCCTTCGCCCCATATCTCTGTTTGTGATAAGATTTTTACGTGTCTACAAATTGGCCAGCAGGCAGCCTGTTCCTTCCTTTTTTCCCTTTTTTTTTTTTTTTTTTTATTATAAAGGTGACCACCAACTGCAGTTCGAGTTGGAGGCGTTGTCAAAATATTTGCGTTATCATGTCACGTTGCTT